AGAGGGAGTCGGAGGTCAAGGAGCGATTCCTGTCGTGCTTGAAGACGAACGCTCGGAGCGAAGCTTTTCTGAAGACCAAGATGGACTGGGATAGGTTGCGAGTGTGGGGTCCGAAGGGCGAGGTGCTCAAGGAAGTCGGTGAGCTTGCGGGACGGGAGTGCAAGGTGAGGTGCGAGCTCCGACAGGTCTGGCTGATGACTGGGCAGTGTGGCCTCTTGGTCGAAGTTACCGATCTCATGCTGAAGGAGTCGAGCGGCGAGCGGTGTCCATTTTCGAATCTTGCCTCTGCCTGATTCTGTGCGAAAACCAGGATTGGCCCTAAAACACCATGCCGCACCCCAATTTTTCGGGATTTTGAAGCCGCCCGGCGAGGGTGCGCCCCGACGGCCCCGGGCAGCCGGCCGTTTTGCGAGCCGACCACGCGCCGGCGAGAGCCCGATTTCGGCGTGTCCCCCGCCTAGGGTTTGAGCACGATTTCGGCCGGATCGGGCCTTTCCTGTCGAATCGGTGCCGGCAAGCCCCGGAACGTGCTCGGGGAGGGTTTAGGATGGGTCGAACACAGCCACACGGAATCGCCGAGCATCACGGAACCGCCGCGCCTCCGATTCTCGGGGTGCGCCCTGCCTATGTTTCACACACCCTGCCGGGCCCGCCGGCCAAAAGCGACACAGCCAGCCTCGGGAAGGCCCGCGCATGGCCCAAAAGGCTTTGCCGGGCCGTTTCACACCAAACTGTGGCGAGAGCGCGATTTCGGTGGGTACGTCCCCTAGGTTTGGCTCAACATTTCGTGGCCTCGGGCGTTCAGTGTCGATTCGCGGCGAGCCTGTGGCCGCCGCCGACCTGATCCGTGGGGGTTTAGGATGCTCACAGATGCTGCTCGCCTTTGCTCACTGATGTTTTTTTTGATTTGTAATGTAGCTAGGCTCGCCGACTTTTGCAGTAACATTTTGCTAGAGTGCTTTCGCCGGGGTTGCTTTTGGTTTGGTTCAGGGCACCCTACCCCTTTCGGCCCCGAAGTAGGCTTTGCTCCCCGTCTGCCCTGTGAGTGCCCTGCCACCCTAACCCGTAGGTACCTCACCCGGCGTCCCTGCATTCAGGTTTTGTTTCCGCGCCGCGGTCCACCAGCTAGGGTGCACGTGGCTCGCGGGCAACACAGCACATCAGCCCAGCAGCGTGGCAGCATGCAGGTAGCACAGCAGGCAGCACAGGAGGCACAACACAGCAGGCAGCACAGCAGGCAGCACAGCGGGCAGCGCGGCATCGCGGAGGCGGCACACGTAGACATGAGAGCGAACAGCATGGATGCGCGGGTGGCAATCGAGATGTATGACGACCAGGTGATGGAGGTTGCAGTCAATGGGGCCTGGTGGAGCACACTCAACCAGCAAGAGTTTCTTGGCAACAGTAAGGCTGGGTAAGTTGGTGTCGGCAGTTGCCACGTCTCGTAGTCTTTCGGTGTCTCGAAACTTCATCTCTGAGGCAGCTCGTCTTCGCCGTCAAGTGTCAGGAGGCATATCGCAAGGCCAAGACAGAGGACTCTGCAGGCGATGGAGTGATGCAGCTCCCGATTTCCTTCTGTGATTGCCTCCCCGAGCCACTGGTGGCTGACGACGCTGCAGCAGGCGAGAACGACAAGGCCGAAGGCTCCAAGAAGAAGAAAAAGAAGAACAAACGCAAGGCGAAAGGCGAGAAGCAGGACGACGAAGCCAAGGCGTCGGCATCAAGTCTGGGCAGCCTGGACTCCATGGACTGAGTCATGCTGTGAGAGCGATAGATCTTTTGTAGACGACTTGCAGCCGCGGTTTGGTTCCTTCTCACAGCTCGCGGGCTTCTGGCTATGATCAAGCGGTATCTGTTCTCGAGGTTTTTGAAAAGGCCGATTGAACTTGAGTGCCTCTTGTTTGTGCCCCGGAGTCCCGAGCCCGAACTAACTTGGAACCCAGCTGCCTTGCGCCCTATCCCAGCGTTGATTTCTTTTGTTTCCGCGCTCGCAGGTTCAAGCTTGTAGGGCGGGGGGTAGTTGCGGGCGGTCGGGCGGGTAGGTGGGCTTGCGTCGGGACCTCAGTTTGCTTGGGTTGCTTCCGTGTTCGGTTTCCCCCTTCCCTAACCCTTTTGGTTACCCTAGGCTGCCTCTCACTGCCCTGCTTTGCCAGCGCGCCTCTCCCCTGTAAGGCCCTCCCCAACTTCCCGCATCCGCCCAGGTCCTCGTCTTCATCGATCCGCGGAGCTTCTCACTCGGAGTGATTTGCCGGGGCTTTGGTGTTGGAAGGGTTTAGGGTTTGTGGGGTGTCGTGCAAGTTTGCGTGCGCAGGAGTGCCTGTTTCTGCTCCCCCCGCCCCGTCTGTAACTAGAGTGCCCTGCAGCCCGCCTCGTCCCGGGAACCCCGGGCCCTCCTGCGACCAGGTCTTCGCCGTCAGAGCTGTCGTCACGTCCCGAGTTTCTGCGTTAACGCCGCGTAGGAGTGCAGTGCTTACGGTAGGTGCCGTGTAGGAGTGCTGCGGGCGCTGATGCACAGTTTTGGCGAGAGCTACAGTTCTCATACCGACACCGTGCTCGTAGTGACTTCATAGGTTCAAGAGCGAAAGCTAGATAACATTGCGGCCATGCTCCAACATCTCCCCGATAACGTGCTCGTCCACTTGCTGGGCTTCTTGCACTGTTCCAATTGTCCGTACTTGAAGGTCCGTGAACAGTACGTGAACTTTGTGGTCGCTTGTCGCGTGGCACTGCGCATGTCGGAGTATGGGTGCGCAGGGCATGTTTGTTTCCACAGCGCTAGAGAGGTGATTCGCATGCGATGTCTCTGCAAGTACTGGAAAGGCGAACTTGAGGGACACATCAGGGACATTAAAAACCATCTGCTAGCAATCCACGAGACATTCATCGATGAATGCCAGGGGGCGGTGACGCTCAGACAGATGGATGAGTTCACGCGCGAGGAAGATTTAAACGAGGAGACATCCGTCGAGGATTGCAAGTACGCGGTGCAGCGCAGCAGCGAGGATTCGTTCAAGCGCTGTGCAAACGCCTTTCGTGCCTTACGTGATCGAGGCAACCGGAGGTTCTTGAGCCTCTACCAAGAACGACTCTTCTTCGTGGCCTTGGCGTCGCATGAGGAAGTGCAAGACAATTTTAGGTTCCAGCATGTGCTGGAGAGCGAGAGCCAGGAGCTCGATGGAAGAGTGATTGATGTGTAGAAACTCTTGTCGATCTCCGTGCCTCAAAGTACAGGATGCTCGGAGCGACTAGGCGGCTCGCGAGGGCATCGCTTGGACAGTTTTGATGCCCTCCCCCCGTATAGTCGAGATGGCGGCAAAAGACAGAAAATGTGGCTTTGTTGTCAGTCCTTGAACACGTCTCCCTCCCGCATCTTCTTTGTAACTAGAGCGTTTGGTCCCTTCGCCCAGGTCATTATCATCCGCGATCGTCGACTTCTTCAAGGCCTGCTCCTTTTTAGCGCCAAGGCGTAGGAGGAGCGGTAGGATGTGAAGTTGCGTCGTCCTGCTATCGAGCCGGGGTTCGTTATGAAGCGATTTGAAGCTCGAAATTCGTGACCTCGTAGCTGTTGAAAGCCTGCAGCCATGCCGGAGTCAGCCAAGAGCAAGGCCTACAAGATTCGCATGCAGCTCCAGAGCAACAAGACTCGCAGGGGCCATATCCTCGGCATGAAGAAGCGTGCCGAGCTTGAAAGGCAGCAGGAGCTGATGGAGCATCACACTGCCGAGACCGATCGCAGCATCCAGGCTACCCGTTCGGATGGTCAGGAAACGCGAGATTTGATCGCATCTACGGAGGCCAGATTGCTGGATGCCATCCAGAATCCTCGCAAGAGAGCGGCGAAGAAGAAGGCGACGGGCAATGGCGAGGAGACCGTCGAGGGCCAACCCAAGAACGAAGCCGGAAAGGGCAAGCGCAAACAGACCGAGGAGCAGAAGGCGGAGAAGGAGGCGGAGCGCCAGCGTAAGAAAGACGAGAAGCTGGAGCGTCAGAGGAAGCGCGAGGAGGCCAAGGAGACGCGGGAGGCGAAAAAAGCCGCGGCGAAGGAGAAGGCGGAGGCCAAGAAAGTCGTGCTGAAGGAGATTCGCGAGAAGAAGGCCAAGAAGAAGGCTGAGATGGACATCGTGAATGCCGAGCTGAAGGCCGCGAAGGGCGAAGGCTCGAAGAAGAAAAAGCACGGTGCTGGTACGGAGGGCGAGACGAAGGAGACGGCGCGGCAGCCGGTAGCCTCCTCGAGCGTGATCGGTCGGGTGAGCCAGCTATTCGGAGGTCAACGCGACGAGGCCAGCGGTTGAGCTTCTTAATTTTGTAGGCTCTTGTACATAGCTGTGCGTGCTCGGCTGATGCTTTTTCGGAGTCGTTAGTCGGGTCATTGCTTGATCAGCCTGGCTCTGGATCCCTACGAGTGTTTGAGTCAGCGTTGACTTGTGGCGTGATTCGCCGCGTCATTTTTGAGAGTCGTCTTTCGGGCCGTGCTGGCACAGGCGTAAGACCCGACTTTGCCCTTAGGCTTAAACAACAGTTCTTAGTCAAACTTCTTAGAAAGCGAGTCCTTTGAGCCTAAGACTACAGTACTAGCAAGGCGCCGTACAGCGGGCGCGCTGCTACAGACCGTGATCCTCTCGATCCGCCAAGAGAATGAATCAGACTGCTTGCCTTTCTTTCGGTTTCGCTGTGGAGCTGCTGCTGCTAAGCACCTCGCGAGTTCTCTGCATTCCCTGATGCGCAGGTGTTACGTCGACCTTCTTCGAAGCCATCGTCAGATCCAGGCCTCTGTCGTCGTTGCTGCGCCGCCATTGACTTGTCGAGTGAGTGCTTTAGCTCTGAGCGGCGCGCTTGCTTTCATGTTCGCTTTGCGCCGACCCAAGCTTTCTTCAGGATGACTGTCGAGCGATTTGTGATGACGCAAGCTAGTGGTGTTCTCGATGCTTTCAGCGAACCTTGAGTCGAAGCCGGATGGTCGTGTAATTTTGTCATTCGCATAGGAAACATTCTTAATAATCATGGCGGAAGCCTTCTTGCTGCTCATGAACCGCCAGAGGGCGGTGCCTCTCGACGAGCCTCGAGCTGCTGTGGCTCAACCTGCTGCGGCCAGGGTTCGAAGCTTGAATCCTCAGCGCAACACCTTCTGGTTGCGCCAGATCTCCTTGGACGCTCCGCCTGGACAGTACTTGAGCGTGGAGAGCCTGAGGTTGGCGCAGGAGTCGATGCAAGACCTCCTGACCGTGCAGCTCCCGTTCATGGTGAAGATCGTCATGCGCGTGCGCCTTTCGGAGGAGATCGTGGATCCGGAGAGCGGCGAGCGGGAGATTGTCTACAGCGAGCGCCGCATTGCCACGGTGCCCTCGTTGGTCCGGCCGCTCGCAAACCCCGACGAGAGGCTTCGTCGCTACATCGTGTCGATGGCTCAGAGGACTCTCGAAGATCGCCTGGAGCATGCTAGGTTCCACAACTCGCTCCAGAAGTTCGAGGGCATCATCGACATGCAGATCTACACGACTCCGAGCCGGGAGCTCGCTCAGCTTCCTGCGGCTCCTGGCGCAAACTTCGCCGGAGGCTGCTGGAAGGAGTTGCCGGAGCTCTTGAAGCACGGCAAGAAGGGGCTCTGGTCCCCCAAGAACGCCGACAACAAGTGCTTCCGCTACTGCGTGATGGCCGAGCTCCTGGGTTGTCGCGACTGGGGCAATGAGTATCGCAAAAAGGTCTCCGAGTGCAGAGGGCGACCTTTCTACGACCTCCCGAACGGACGCCCTAGCAAGAGGATGCGACTTTCGGATCCTGTCGGTGTTTATGTCAACGAGCAAGCCATCGACTTCAGCATGCTCCCGGAAGAAAGCGCGGTCGCCTTCGAGGACATCGAGAAGTTTGAGCTCGGGAACGCTGGCTTGGTGGAGATCTTTGTGTACCAGTGGTCGCGAGTGCCGTGGGTCAACGACGACTTCCACTTCCTCATGCCGGTGCGTTCCCCCTCGCTGGAAACCCAGGCCGCGCGTTCGATACTACTCCTGCATCACGACAACCACTACGTGCTCATCTACGACTGACTTCAACCAGCTTTCGAGCACTCGCAGTCTCTCGTTTCCGGAGAGTCAGCGGGCAAGCACACACCACTCCTGGAACCGTTGCCATCGTTGCATGGGCAACTTCAATAGCCCAGAAGCGCTCGGGCGACACTTGGCTGGGAGGGTGTGTTCTGAGGATCCCGGCAAGCGCCAGGTGGATAGGATGCTAATGCCGGAGAGAAGCGCCGCCACGCTCCACTACAAGGCCGGCCCTTCAGCTGCCATGCATCCCTGTGTTTGCTACGCCGACTTTGAGACCTTCAACGCCAAGGCGCCCCAGCAACTTGCCGGTCAGAGCGTTCTAGCCAAGCAGGATCGAGTCGCATCCTTTGCGTACATGGCGGTCGGGCGTTGCGGCTTCCAGGTCCCCTCGTTACATCGACTTCGGCTGGAGCGGGCGACCGAGGAGTCTGGCGAGTTCGGCATCGTGGAGCTCTTCCTCCGCAGTCTTCTCGAGCTGGCCAAACGCTACCGAGAGTGGCGTCTGCGCACAAACAAGCCCTGCCGTATGACTCAGGCCGACCAACGTCGCTTCAACCGCGCCGAGACCTGCGAGATCTGCGGCGGGGGCTTCGAGCAAGGGAATCCTAAAGTGGCGCATCATGAACATGGGACGGGCAAGTTCCTGAGTGCGGCTTGCAACAAGTGCAACTTGCTCATCCGCCTGCCGACGAGCCTGCCCTGCTACTTCCACAACGGCGCCTCCTACGACTTCCACTACCTGCTCCGCTTCCTGGCCCATGAGAAGGGTTATGAGCGTCATGAGGACTACATCGCCACGCTCCTCGGCGAGACTGCGGAGTCCGACGGCGACGATGACGACGAGGGCGAGGGGGACGATGACAGGTACGATCCGTGGCGCTGCGACCTTTCCAAGATCAAGCTGGGTGCTCTGGTGAAAAGCGGGGAGAAGTGCTTGATGCTGTCTTTCGGGCCTCTGCGCTTCCTCGACTCCTTGAACGTTTTCCCGACCAGCTTGGCCTCCTTGATCGAAGACTGCAAGGCGAGCTGCTTGAATCCCAGCGAGGCCTTTCCCCTGCTGACACGGCGCCATCCCATCTTCGCGGAGGCGGAGCTGGGCGCGCGCGAGCGTCGGGCCAAGGTTTGGGAGTTGCTGCTCAAGAAGATCCCGATGCCGTTTGACGCTCTTTGTGATCCGGCTTGCTGGTCGTGGCCGGCTTTGCTTCCTCGCGAGGCCTACGACAACACGCTCACCGGCGAGGCGTGCTCCGAGGAGAAATACGAGACCGTCAAGCAGATCGTCGAGTTCTTCGACTTCGAGAGCTTCGGCGCATTTCATGACACGTATTTGCGCACAGACCTCGCACTGGGAGATGTGATGGAGCGCTATCGAGACACGTTTTGGGACAACTTCCACCTCGACCCCTGCCAGTACATCACGCACGCATCGGCGAGTCATGACGCCATGCTACGCAAGTGCTGTCCTCGTCGGGATCTCGGTCTCGGGCTCATGACCGATCGGAGGGTGTACGAGCTGACCAAGGCGAACATCAGAGGAGGCCTCGGGCACATCGCTCAGCCGTTTGCGGCGGCCAACAACCCCATGTTGCCCGACTTCGATCCCGCTCGAGAGCAGTCGTGGATTCTGTTCTACGACGTGAACAGCATGTACCCTTCCATCATGGAGAAGCCGATGCCTACCGACGGCGGTCAGTGGGTCGAGATGCCCGCGTCCAGGAAGGAGAGGCTGTGCTACCTCAACGCGCTCTTCGAGCGGGTGGACTACGAACGGGACGATGAGGAGGTTTGCTTCATGATCGAGGCGAGCTTCGATGTGCCGTGGTTTCGCCACTCTTGCGTGGATTGGGCTCCCGTTTGCAAGATGTCGGTGACGAGGTCGCAACTCAGCCCTTACACCCAGTCCCTCATCCAGGACGGTCAAGTTGTTTCGGCGACGCCTAAGCTTGTACCTTACTTGGGGTTGCATCTGAAAGAAGCCGTCGACCTTCGGTACCTCAAGTTCATCGTGGAGCACCTCGGCGTTCGGGTCTATGACGCTCACAGCTGCGTGTCCTTCCGCTGCCATACCTGGATGAAGAGCTTCGTTCGCCAAACCGTGGAGACTCGCCGCGAGTACAAGAAGAGCGGTCGCAAACTCCAAGCGGAAGTTCAGAAGCTTACGGGCAACGTCCAGTACGGCAAGATGGTGCAGAACCAGGAGAACTTCAGGGCCACTCGCGTCTACGCGGACGGCTTGAAGTTCCAAGCGGCGGCATCCAAGCCCAACATGCTGGACATCCATCCGCAAATCATGGAGGAGCGCGCGTTCTTGGCCTTCGTCGACGTTCAGAAGGCCGGCAAGGCGAATGTCTTGAGATCCTTTCTCCAAGGCGGCTGGAAGGTGCTGGAGGAGTCGCGCTTGCTGATGATGAAGGCGCACTACCGGATCCGCCTCGTCTTCGACGGCGATCTTCTCAAGAGCGTCGACCCGGCGGACGACCCGAGCGACTTGAAGCCCGAGCAGAGCCGCGTGAGATGGCTGGGAGGCGACACTGACAGCAGCGTCCTGCAGATCTTCAGCGACCAAGACCCGAAGATCGCCCTGGCGAAGGCCAACTTGCGAGGCGCCGCTCCTTTCTTCGATGTGGCTGGCGATGCGAAGGACGCCGCCCTGAAGGAGCACCTGGCTCCGCTGTGCGAGGAAAGCCGAGAGCTCGCACTTCGCCGCGCTGGCGAGCTCGGCAACTTCTCGGACGAGTTGGCTCCTCACTACGGCGTCGAGTGGGTCGGCTTGGCGCCGAAGATGTACTCGCTTAGCAAGACAGAGGGCGAGAGCAAGGAGCGGGCCAAGGGCGTTCCGAAGAGCGAGCGCAAGAAGCTGGACCACGAGCTCTACCGGGCCATCTTGGAGAGCGGAGGCGAGCACAAGGTGGAGTTCCGCCGCCTGGGCTGCCGTCATCATGTGAACGAGGTCGTGGAGATCCACAAGCGCGGCCTCACGGCGTTGAACACGAAGGCATGGCAGCTCGATGCGCATCGCTCCAGGCCGCTCGGGCACTTCAAGAACAACGAGGTCTGGGCCGCGTGCTGGGCGGCGCTGCAGAGAGGGGCGCGTGGCTTCGAGGAGCGGTCCGATGTGGCGGCCTTCCACCTGATGAACCACATCCTCGGCTTCGCGTATGGCGAGGTCGGCTTCTTGCATCGCGAGAGGGCGAGCAATGGGCAGTTCGTGGGCAAGCTGTTCAACACCAGTTACCTCCGGTCGTGCTGAAGAGTTTTTTAGTTGTACAGTACAGGAGTTTCCGAGCAGTCGTCGGAGAACTCACCGCGCAGCACAGGGTTCGAGCGGGTGAGGCTTTTTTGCGAGCTCTTCCCTCTAGGATAGATGTCATAGGCTTTTGTTTATGAAGCTAACTTCGGTGCTCGATTAAGCTTGCACTCGCACGAATGATGCGCCGGGACTTCCACATCTGCTGCTAGGGCGGGATGTGCTACAGAAACAACCCTCCAGAAGGGGATCGCTGAGAGGAGGTGTGAAAATCTTTGCTTTGATCGATGGCGAGCGGCTAAGCCCAGGACCGCACTTGACTGCAGCTTGAGTGGACTGTCATCGTGCGCCTTCTTTTCTGTGAGCTAGGGTAGAGTGCTTTCGCATCGGCAGGTGTTCTCGACTTCTTGCGCATCGCTTTGAGGCTCGGCGCTGAGTTTGCAATCAGGGTGGAGCGATAGGACCTGGGGCAGGTAGTCTGCGGTTTTGGGCTGCTTGTCTTCCGCGCTGCTCTCTCGACTGCATGGGGAATCTGCGTCTTTGATCCTCGGAGTCCACCTTCCTCAGGTCTCGTCGCACGAGCTTATCTCCGGTCCAGCCCTCGAGGAAGAAGTAGGGTCCGCCGGCTGTGTTTTCGATTCTGGCGACTGTGTAGACACGTTCGCTCCAGGCTACTTCCGTAACTCTGTAAGTGCCCCTACTCTCGATAGGTTTAACCCTAACCCGAACTAAATCTCCCACCGCTATTTGAGGCCTCGCTCCGGCATTCATCCTGACGTTGCGCGCTTCATCCTGGTCAAGGCCTTGTCTGCGGTTTCATGATCGTCATACACTTTGTCTGGAGCGAAGCCTGTGGTTGAGTGGGGGTTTTCGTTGTACTGCGCTAGGATGTCGGGTAGCAGTAGATGCCATTGATTCCTTCTCCCCACTCCTTCTGAAAGCCTGCGGATGAGTGCTTCTTTGAGGGTCCTGATGGCTCGTTCGGCCACCGTGGCGTGGCCCCTAGTCACCACTTTGTCGATGTCGAAGTAGTCCAGCTTCTGTTTGAATTCACGCTTAAACTCGCTGCCGTCGTCGCTGTAAACCGTTAGCGGTATGCCGAGATCCTTGACAACTTTATCCCATGCTCTGGATGCAGTAGCGGCATCTTTGTTGGCCATTGGTACTGCTGTTAGCTTCTTGCTGAAAGTGTCGATCGCTACGAGCATGTACTTGTACGGCCCTTGGGCGAAAGCTGTCATGTCAGCCAGGTCCACTTGCAGCTGGAACATCGGCTCTGGAGGGACAAAACCGTTGTGCCCTCTTTCAGGTCTGTCTTGACGAACGATGAGGCTGTTAAGAAACAGGCGCACGTCACCACGGTTGATTGTTTGATCGCGAGCTCTAGCCTGCCTCAGAGTTTGATCTAGGTTGCCGAAGCCTGTCCTAGGGTTCGTGTAGACCTGTCTGATGATTTCACGTCTTCTATCGGCTTCAGCCATTGTTTTTTAAGAACTGTTTCTTTTTTGTGTGTCGCCCTGTGGCGACCTTGTGGCGACCTTGTGGCGACCTTGTGGCGACCTTGTGGCGACCTTGTGGCGAGGCTGTTTTCGGCTATATTTCGGGACAAAATAAGCCTGAAGAACTCCTTTGTCGCAACAGATTTTTTCGACCGAGATCGCCAAAAGAGGCTGCTTTTGCGGACTTAAAACACGTCAAACAAGCTTGTAGAGACTCGGATAGAGACTCAGTCTTTGCGGAGTCTTTCCTGGTGAAGACTACAGTCTTTGTGGAGTCTTTGTCGAGTCTTGGGGTAGAGACTCGGATAGACTCATAGCAGCATTATAACATCATTATTGAATCATTATTGAATCATTCTTGAATCATTATTGAATCATTGTTGAAACATTCTTGAATCATTATTGAATCATTGTTGAAACCGTTATTGCATTTTGTGATGAAAAAAGACGAAAACGTAACTCGATGTGAAATTCATGAGCAAAGTCGGAATTCCGACCTTGATCGAAGAGGCTGTTTTCGAAGAAACGTAACACGATTTCGATCCTGAAGAACTCCTTCCTCTGTTTCGTTTTTCCATAGAACTCGAAGAGGCCGTTTTCGATGAAACGTATCGCGATTTCGACCCTGAAGAACTCCTTTCGGCCTCGAAGTTTTTCCGCCTCAGAGCTCGAAGACGCCGTTTTCGATGAAACGTTTCGCGAAAATCGACCTTGAAAAAACCCCCCCCATAAGCCCCCTTTCGCTATTATTACCCATGTCTTGTGAGCGCTCCTGGTCAAGCGCCCACAAATCTCAAATCTATATGCATGCTGCTGTTCGCGAAAATGCCGCCCTTCAGGCGGCATGGTTGCAAAACTCTTGAGCTAAGCTACGGAAAAACCTGGTAAGCAGAGCGGAGGCTTAGGCTTGGAGCGGAACTTTGAAGCCTGGGTGCCTCGAGGGGGTGAAGTCCAAAAACCTCAACCGAAGTGAGAGCAGCAGCAGGTGAGTACCAAGGTTGGAGGGGATCTTAGCGAAAAATCCGCGAACTGAGGGGAGCGTACGGCGCGACAAGCTTTTTTGGCGCAGCTCCCATACGGAGAGTTGGCACTGGCTACACTTCCAAACCGGCCCCTTGGCGCACAAGGGAGTGCGTGGAGTGGGTCGCGAAAGGGCACAGAACCGCGCCGTACGGCACGGAAAGGAGATAAGACGCTCAAAGGGGGTCGACCTGGTGCTGAGAGAGCGAACACTTAAGGCACATGTTAAAACTTTTGTCCCTAGACGTGCGAGACCAGACGTACCCTCCAGGTTGAGGGGGTTCGTCGAAGTAAGGCCTGCAACCTCTGCCTCTTGTTGGGCGAGGGAGATGCGGAGGCGTGAAGGGCGGAAAGAAAGCGGTTCTTCCGCGGGACAAAGTCCTCCTTCTCCGCCTGGGCAAGTATCGCGGCACCGCAACGTCCCAAGTACTTACAGAGGAGAGAGGTACTATCAACCTCTTTTTGAGCGGCAAGGCAGTGAGGGGTTTGAACCTTCTCTCTCCTGCCAGCTTGTCGGCGAGGACATTCAACTCATGACGCCACAGCGCATCAGCTCCGAATTCCAAACAGAAATCTGGGACACTGAGGTCGGAACGGGCCTGTGATCCCACGCCTTGGACCAGACAAGCGGGGTGCGCTTGGTGAAGGGGCCTTGGAGAATGCGGAGGGCGGGCCGGCAATCGCAAGTGAGGTCAAAAGTGCCACGGAAGAGAGGAGAGCCTGGGCGATTGCCTCACTCTCGCCCTCCGGCACGGTGGCGGGCGCGGCAAAAGCCCCGACATAGTGCCGAGGACTGTCAAGTCGCCCCGCTGCCTGCTCGCGACAACAATGGCCCAGCCGACCGACCGAAGGCGACTGTCCTTCGTGGCTGGTCCGCCCGAAGCGTCCGTAGCGACGAAGAGCCCTGTCAAGTCAGGAGTTTCTTGGAGGAAGAGGCCGGTACGATGGACCTCAGCCTCGTGGGCGAGGGGGACGCGAGGCGTGAGAGACCGCATCCCTCGCAGCCACAGACATTCGGCTGGATGGCGCCGCTTAAAGGAGAGCAACCAGCCGGAAGGCATGAGGGCGCCAGGCACACGCTCGCACTCATAGAGGAGGTAGTGCAGTGTGTTGGACTGCCCACAGAATTTGCACTGTCCTTGCCGCCGTTGCCGGAGTGAAGGATTGTGCCTTGAAAGACGGCCCTGAGGCCGTGCCTCCAGGGTTTAGTCCGAGGACTGGCTAAGAGGCGGCACGGCACGGTCCAGTCGATGCCAGAGGAGGCGCCTACGGCGGTGGAGACGGCGCCGATGCGGGACCAGCGCTCAAGCTGGATGACCTGCCGGAGGAAGGCGGAGGCCTCGAAGACCGCACCCGGCTCTTGGAAACGAAAGTGGAAAGTTCTCACGGTGTGTCCAAGTGTCCGGGGTGGGAGCCGACACCCGCAAATCCAGGAAGTACTGGATGAGAGCCGAAACGGGGCCATTAACGATGTTCCACCCGTCGCGGAGGCTTGCCTGGACCAGGAGGAGGTCCACGTGCGGCGGAGAAGGTTTACGCCTTCCGGCGAGGCGGCAGAAGCGAGGCGTCCTAGCGCCTGGAGCTGCTCAACAACCACAAGCTGAGGTCGAGGATGGTGTCGGCGGAGCCGTGTTCAAAACGGCCGGCTTCGCGAGCGACAGCGGCCCGCAGAAACTTGAGGCGTTTGGGGGTGGTAACCGTAAAGGCCAGCCTTAAGGGCAGAAGCCTGGATCAAGCGGCCGCGAACCCACCTTCGGCGGATGCGGAGGCGGCGCATGTGCCGAACACGACCTACCCTGAGTCTGCTGTTTACCTAATTTTACACTTTGGCTTGATTTACTGTAAACGAAGGATTTAGTGTAAAATGACCAAATTTACGTAAATTTTCTGGTGAGCTAAAAACATGACAAAACACATAAAAACATTATGCAAACACAAACATGGAACTCATATTTGCGGCTGCAAACTTAGACACCACATGTAAAGGATTTAAAAAAATCACCGGCATGAGTTTGTTTTGCTCTGCAATCGCAGACACCACATGTAAAGGATCCACAGCAGAAGTAAGGACTTTTCCGAAAATTCGCAGGCCCAAAGCCATAAACTAACCAAAGAGAATCCATGCAGATTGCTTATAAGATCCACACCAGTATATACGACAACTGTGATTCAAAAGCCCAAACAAAAGACCAGGAGCACCACATATAGCAGAGAGACACTCTTTTTTTTCGCGACAGAAAAGAAAGAAGCTCTCACGATCGCCCAACTTTGCCCCGCAGAAACAAAAGGTGCCTCTCTTTGAGGGCAGCCTTTTTGGAAGCATGCCAGTGCTTCACCCCTGCCAAACAACTCTTCCATAGAATCTGCAGGCGATGCATCGTCGTCTCTCCCTTGTAGCACCAGACCATCGACGGATGAATAAAACTGCTGAGTAGGAGACTATGCAAAACGAAGTGGGTCTTACTTGTGAGATTGAAGAGCTTC